TTGCTAAAAATATATTAATATTTTGTGAGTCTGTGCTTTTATACTTGATATAATTGAAAGTTTTGCATCATTATTTTAGTAATTTTCAACCCCCAATAATGTTCTGCCACTAAACTGTGCTTCTAGTTCCATAAGCTGATCACTCTTGTTCTCACAGAATGATGAATGGTCTTATATGTGTTACCTTTCAGAAGCCCAGAGGTTTACTTATGATTAATAAGCCAAAAGAAGTAACTACTGAATATTATATTGAAGTTCTTTCCTTTATGTAGGCAACTGAAACAAACACTGTTTTATTTTCTCTGACACAAATGTAAATGAAACAAAAAAAGGCACTGAGCCATAAATACTGGAATTCTTTTTCTTCCAGAGAAGCAAAGTCCAAATTCAGTGCTTCTTTATTAAAAAGTAGACGTTTGCCCATGGACAACCAACATTAACGAGAGAGTAGAAGAAGTTTTTATGCATCAAAAGTCTTAAAAGATTAAACTGTTGAGAGAAATTCTCGTTCAACTCAGTGGGAATGACTGCTCCTTTCAGAGGGTTTATATTCTCTGTCTATCCCTGACTTGAAACTCCAATCTTCAGAGAAACATGGCATGAAGCATTCAGAGAAAAAAATAATCTCCATTTAGTTCCAAGGTTATTATAGTCCTATTTAGCTAAATAATTACATCTAAAATTGTTCTTAAAATTCCATCAAATGATATATTTTATATTATTTACTACATATAAACTTTTACTATATTCACAGCTTTATTTTGCAAGATGAGGTGATAGTGTACTGACTTAAATGTCTTCTAAAATCTGAGTTGTGCAGTGTGATAGTTCTCACTCTAGTTCTACAGGCCAGGGCATTTCAGGGAGAGTAGTACATAAACATATCCATTAGTACTTCGTTGAGGAGACCTGATCACCCCTCTCTGGTGACCAGCAATAGGACATGAGGGAAAGGAATTAAGCTGCTCTGCAGAAATTCAGACCAGACATGAGGAAAAGATTCTCCACTCAGAGTGTGGTTCATCCCTGGAAGAGGCTTCCCAGTGAAATGGTTGTGGCACCACACCTGACAGAGCTCAAGAAGCATCTGGACAATGCTCTCAGTTACATGATCTAGTTTTAGTAGTAGTCCTGAAGTAAGCAGGGAGTTGGACTCAACTATCCTTATCAAGTTGGGTCCCTTCCAAACTGAGATTGCAGTGGCTCTGTGCATCTCTGATTTTTGAAATTTCAGGGAGTCTCTCAAAAAATGGTATTTTTTGTTAAGATGAGTGAAGGCTAAAGTGGTTCATCATTATTGCTATTTTTTAAGCAGAGATATGGGTCATGAAGTAAGGCAAACCTGCACTATGCATTGTACCTGTTGTCAATAGAAGTATTGTTCTCCACTAAAAGAAAACCCCAGGAATTTAATCACCTTTGTTTCAGTCTCACACTCAGGTTTTATTCACCAGAGTAATCTGCAGATTTGGAGAACAATTCAGGCTGTAAGGGACCTTTGGAGGTCATTTAGTCTAATCTCCTGCCCAAAGCAGGAACAATTTGAAAGTTCAATTATATAGATTAGGAATTTATCCAGATGAATTTTGAACCTCTTGGAGAAGAGAGATTCCATAATCTCATGGAATCACCAGTTACATTAAAAAGATTTTTTTATCCTCAGACACTACTGGAAGTTTCCTTGTTGCAACATGTGACGTCTGCTAACAGTAATTTCTTTGTGCATCTCTGCTCACCTCGAAGCCAGTGTTCAGTGCTGCTAGAGCACACTGCTGGCTGAGGCCAAATTTAAGAATCACAGTGTCATTTAAGTTGGAAAGCACCTCTTGAGAGCCCATTGTCAAACCCTCTCCGCTGAAGCAAGTTTACTTGCTTCAGGTTGTTCAGGAACATGTTTAGTCAGGTTTTAAATATCTCCAAGGGTGGACATCCCACAACTTCTCTGAGGTACCTGTGTCCAGTAACCCTTACCATAAAAAAAGAGTTTCCTGATAACATGAAATTTCATGTGCTCGTTGTTCATTGCTTCTTGCCCTGTCACTGGACACTACTGATAAAAGTCTATACATCTACCACCAGAGAGTTATGCCTTCCCAGGTGTGTAGCCATGCTATTTTATAAAAATCCTTTGCTAGGATTTTTCTCCTATTCTAGCTGAGAAGCCTCAGGAAAGAAATGTAAACAATAACTATCTGCTGCTGTGGAATGCACCAGGTGCAGCTGTGATTGGTGAATGTTGGCTGTTTCTAATTAATGGCCAATCACAGTCAGCTGGCTCTGACTCTCTGAGAGTCACGAGTTTTTGTTATTCATTCCTCTCCTGTCCTTTCTAGCCTTCTGATGGATTATTTTCTCTTTATTATTTTAGTATAGTTTTTAGTATAACATTTTAATATAATGTATATAATAATATAATAAATCAGCCTTCTGAAACATGGGGTCAAGATTCAGATCTCTTCACTTGTCCCAGGAGCCCCAGTCAGTTCAACCACACAGGTGCAGTAGGCTGCATTTGCTTTTGTTGGACTTACGTGAAACTTCAGTTGACCTACTCCTCCCCTGTCAACCCATGCATTCATGTAAAATATTCCCAAGGGTCTGGTGCATGAAGTCAGTTTCTTACAGGTTGCTTTCATAGTCTTGCTGTTTGAAGAACTTCACTCAGCTAAGTTAGATCAAAGGGACGTCATGTAAAATGCAGTGGAAGTGATTTTACAGGCTTTTATGATTAAAACCAGACAGCAGATATAGAAGCCAGTTCAGACAGCCCACACTGCTACACAATGTAGAGTATCTGCAGGCAGCGTAAAAGAAAAGCAGACCAAAAAAGTATATATTTTTCAGTCTATAAACACCAGTCTCTGATTCTTAGGTAATTAAAAATTTGGCTTTTGATAAGAAACCTATGTTATCACTACCCTTAATAGTTGTTACTGCATGTTGTTAAGCTTTTGTTCCTACAGAGTGATAAACTCCCTGTTATGAAAAATTAATTATCATGCAAGTCAGTGAAGACTGCCCCAGGATATGGCCCTTCAGTGGCATGTCAGTAATGACCACTGATAACTACATTTTCAGGCGTTCGTAAAAAGTGACAGAATTGTGACTGTGCAGCAAAGTAAAACCCATTTGCCAGATAAAACAAGGAAAGGAGGAGACCTTCTAAAATCTGAGAGTAGGAAGAATGACCATACCAAATATATGCTTAAAACATTATACATGTTTTAGTAATAAGATAACTATACTTGTACTACTAAACTTTTATTACAAAACACCAAGTGTGCCACATCTGATCTTGAAAACGATTAATAAATTGCCTTAGTATGCTACTTTTTGTGAGTTTAGAAGTCTTTCCAAGAGGTTTACAACACAAACATAATCATGAGTTAAACCTACAGTAGTTATTTAATACAGGGATGAGTTATGAAATATTTGATTTTTTACAAAGACAGCAGAATACTGCAATTTCTTCTGTCTTCTTAACAGCTTAAACCAAAAAAGTTTTCATATGTAATTAAAAATTCTACTAAAAAGATACCATTGGTTTTTTGCAGGGAACTCTCTTTTTAGTGGAAAGGTAGTTTCAGGTTTAAAACCTCTTTATGTTATTCATCATGTCTAATTCTATAGCATGATTTCCAAACACTGCTGTTTCTTCATGCTGTGTTTTCCATGAAGCTCACCTGGCCCAATGCAGACATCTACAGTACAGATCAATACAGCTGGGCTAGGCAAAGAAACTCCTTTTCATTTGAGTCACCAATGAAAATATAGGCTCTTTTATTCTTCTGTTCTATTTTAGGCATTGACTTTAGGATGAGATGAATCACAACCTACAAATGCTTAGGCTTTTCTTGAAACTAGCTTAGAGGTAGATAGCTGCATTTTAGTCATAAAGTTACTTGGTATTAGTTCCGTTCCTTCTACCTGCAATCTTAGCTAAAACTAAATTCTTCAGGCACTGCCAACCACCATGACTCCTCATCACTATCATAGTAAAAAAACCCCATAATTTCCAAAATCAAATTATTACTGCAACACAAGAAATATCCCAAACCTGCTCTTTAAACTGGCCAATTCCCCTTACTTTTAGCTTTGAATTAAAGGAAAAGGCTTCAGGAAAAACGTTGCTACTATCTGGTACATTTCATGAATTTTAGTTCATCTGTTTTTGGCAAAGGCTCTCAGAGCCAATTTCAGTGCTGAGACCATAAAAGCATCAAAAATTTATCCAAAGTTTTTCCAGCTAAATTGGCTTTTTGGGAACATTAGCAGGCTGCACAACCAACAGTAAGGTGGCAGCCTCTGTGATAGATGGAAGCCTTTCTGCATTCAGTCCATAAGGAAAGACAAACAGGAGCACTTCCGTGGCTCCTCTTGTTTAAGGAAGATGCTGCCATGTATTTGAGAAGCCCATCAAATGATTTGTATGTTTGTTTCTGAATCTAAACCAGCAGACCACTCTGGAGATGACTCAAAACATACAGCACAGCCATCACATCCTCATGGAACAAAATAATGTTTGGAAACAGCAGTAAACACATCTCACTACTGCAGCCAAATAACAGGAAGCATCTACAAATAGAATAATAGATTATTTAGAAATGGCTTTGTAGTTTGGGAAGTCTTGACAGCTTAATGCATAACACCAATGTGTAGTTCTTGAGTCATGAACACACAAAGGCCAGGCAGAGAAGACTTGTATGCTGATATTCAGGTTTCCTCCTGCTGCCCTCCAACTTACCTTTTGCACTAAAGTAAATACCTGGTACTAAGAAGGAGGTGGCACCATCAAATATTCTCTATTATGCAGGATTTAACCACCCTTATTCAGTCGCTCTAAGCTCCTTCAATCAGCTGTCTTAGCAGAAAGGAGACTCCAGTCATGTCATTTGCTTTCCCTGACCCCATGAAAGATCTAGTTGGCATGTGGCTCCCAAAGAACAATTATAATAATTACACATTTTGTTTCCAAACACACGTAATAAGTTTGTTTTTACCTGAGTCTTCCATCCTCTGCTGCAGCTCCTCCTGGTATAATCTTAGTAATGAATATCCCAGGATCATCCCCAATGTGTGGGTTATCTGTTCCTCCAGCAATACTGAACCCCAGGCCAGAATTTCCCTGGAAAAATAACAAAAAGTAAATCCATCACTCAGATGTTAGATTTCTACAGAATTCATTTGCATTGCATGAAAAAGTAACCTTGCTTCTTCAAGAAAGCATACTATTTGGCAACTCCATACATGAATGCAGGTGACTCAGTCTGAAAAAATTAATTGTCAGTTAAAGAACAGAGGCTGTGAACAGAAAGATTTCCTGGAGCTAATGACAGAGTTAATGGATACTCCTACAGAAACAGGATTTGACCTAAATTTGTTTTCAAAAGCACTCACATAAATTAGCATCTGAACTCCAATATTAATTCATCCAAGTCAATGAGAGCTAGAGGCTAGAAACATTTCAGAGCTTTGAAAAAAGATTTCAAAATGACTGTAATTTATAAACAGAAACAGTGAAAAACACCTGACTCTGAAGTATTTTACTATACCAGTTTCTGTTGAAGACTGACATGCTTCAAAAACAAACAAAAAAAATCCACAAAACAAGAGTACTTCTTTTATCCTAGATCTGCTAGGACAAAGTTTTTGAAAGACATTATAAGACTCTACTCAATAATCTCTCTTATTTTTTATACTATTTGTGAGACTATCATGAAAGATAAACAGACATACATACTCTTGCAAATGAAGTCACTGTTTTTCACACACATTTCAAAACCGCGATTCTAATTATTTTTTGGAATTATATATTGATTATGCTTTTCTATATAAGTCAACCTTAAATACATGTTTTGGTTTTTTTCCTGTGTGAATTAACTTTTTTCCCAAGGGATTCTTTCTTATTTATAGAAAGTTAGATGCAGGTTTAAGAACTCATGATGCATAGAGAATGTTGTAAAATTCAGTGCAATACATGCTTCTTTAAGGGCCTCTCAGCCAAAAGTAGTTTTAGTTAGGCATTTAGACTTACCACAGTGATACAACTGCATACATATTGCAAAATATGTACTGCAAATGAAGTATATTTAGGGCACTAAAATACTTTTCTTTCATTAGCTTCTCAGACTATTGGGTGTTTGTTTCTTTTACTGCTGCTTGTGATCACGTATCTAGTTCAGTTCTAGTAAGGAAAGTTATTAGTAAAAATGACAGCTCCATAAATTTTTTTTCTAAATCATTTAAATCAAATGTCATTTCTGCATTTTTCAACAGTACTTCAATGCACTCAAAGTGATGCATTTTGTGTGTGAAAGCCTACATGTTGCCTGCCTGCAGCATGTCAGATTCTGAATGCTGTTATCAGCATTCTGCATTCACAAGAGATGCAGTTCTCATTACCCAAGAGACGAACACGCAATGTGCAGCTCTGCTGTCAGCATATAATTGTGAACTAATTTATAATCCAAGGAAATGGATTTAGGATTGCACATATTGTAATGCTTCTCAGCCAGCATTGTGGAAATCATTATAGTACTGAAACACTCTGTATACATTTTCTGTAGTTAGCAAACACCTCCAGGCCAGCATTATAAATCTTTGATTTAATCTCTCTTTCATCATTAGGATCATCTCAGATTCAGGTTGTTCTCCCAATATTTTAACACAGACCTAATTGTACAGCACATTTTACAGTAACATGTACTCTCTAAATACTTTAAGAGTGTTTTCCTGAAATCCTATGTGTCATATTATTAAATAAGCTAACTGTCAAACATGAAAGAAAAGAAGACTACTTACACATACTTCAGGAAGCCTGGAACAAAATCCTTAAACATTAGTACAACTAAGGGCAAATTTCTAGAAATTTTGAGTGATACTTGATTTGCAATCAAAAAACCTGAACAAACCTTTAAAATAAAATAGTTGTGTTCATTCATTATTAACTTCAAAGAGATTTAAAAAATATGCAGCAATCCTGTTCCTGAAAAGAGGTAGATTTTCAAATATCCAAAACCTAATTTTGATAGGAAAAGGCAAAGAGGAGGGCAACAAGGACAAATCTGGGCATAAATATTAGCACAAGACACAAACAGCTACACCACAATTTAAAAAAAAATGTATCTGAAGAGCTCTAAAAAAACTATCAAAGCTTGTCTATTATGTGGTGTGTGCTTAGTTGTTACAGTTCAACACATAAAATACATTCAATGTTTTAGGAGGAAATAATTTCTGTGTTGTTTTCCTTCTACTGTATCTTTTCCCATTAACATTTTAGAGCCAAAAAATGCTACAGCAATGCTGGCTGTAAGCAGTGATGTGCTAACACTGCTGCACACTTCCCAGGAGAATTACTGCTATTCTTGACAGTTATCCATAAATGTGCATCTGTTATACTGCAAGACTGTTCTCATTCTACCCCTTAGAAGCAACCTTTTAAAAGCACAGGGTAGCACTCCTCACTGGCACTTCTGTATCTACAAAATTTCAAACAATTCTTCTGGCTGCAGTCCTTGACTTGATCAACAGGATCTACAAGCTGTCAGGCACAAGCTGCCTTGACAAATAGGTACATCCCTGCAAGGCTTTACTGCACCAGAAACCTGCCGCAAAAGTTAAGAGCAATTACACTTCTTTTTCCCCACTATGGTTTATGAAGGGTCTGCCTTACCTGCATGGAAAAATATTCTTTGTACCTCAGATCAAAGCCAACAAGGCTAAAAGCATAGCTACAATCACTCATGGATTTTTGAGAGCCTTGGTTTGAAAAATAATGCAATAGGAACATTCTGGTTAAAAGCGACTATATTTCAGTTCTGAGCAGCAATACTGACATGCAGATCTCTCCTTGTGCTTCTCTCCACCCTCTGCATTTATGCAGGTTCTCCAGCATATTGTTGCTGTCCTAAAATCTCACTGCCCTTGTTAAGCTGTAATTCCAAGTTCCAGTAAGTACTGTTTACTACTGCAATGCTTCCTGAACATTTCCACAAGGCTTCGTTCCCCACCCTTTAGTTTTTGCATCTCCTTTGTCCCCATTCCAGAAAAAAAAAAAAAAAAAAAGTGTGTGGTAATTATCTTCACAGCTTTTCTTGGCATATCTGTCACCCTCCCATTTCATGTGAACCAATGAAAATGCCATCCCACAGCCCAAAACAAGAACTGAACCATCACTTAGCCACAGCATTTTCCAAGGTGGAACATTCATGCTTTCTCTCATGCTGATTCATGTTTGGGAGTGGTTCCCCATAAATATCTGTCATGTTAATTCACTGTATTCTTTCTACTCCAAGTCTTACATCCCTTGGGTGCTTACAAAGCAAGTTAAAAATGAGCTCCGAGGCCTGGTGACAATGCAGATAAAATACAATGCAGAACTAATAGCAGCTGATCAAGAGGAGAAAAAGTCTTCCTCTTTTGGAATACTCCACTGATACTTCTTAATTGAGATTCATTTTGAGGCCTTAATATGCTTGCCTGTTTTATTTCAGGATCCTTCAGCAGAAGAAATCTATGCAAAAATCTGAACACTTAACAACTTGTTGAAGTTTAAACAAGTCTCAGACCTATAAACTTTTAATGGTATTGCTCAAACATCATAATTAGCATGTGCAAATATATACATATATAAACACATACACAATTCTACAATTCTATATAAGGGTTCATATCCAAATTATTTTGTGTTCAATTCTTATTAGCTAAAATAGCTCTTGACCTAAACCTTTCCATCTCTTTGTCCAAGCTCTCAATTTCTACTACTTTAAAAACCTCATATAATTAGTTACTGACTGTACCAGGAAGATTTGCATAAAACTGCACAGCAATAGATGGATGAAAGTACTTTTTAATTGTTAGTTTAGTTTCTTACTACCTTCTCCACCTTTTGTTGCAAGGCTCCAGTCATGCACACAGACTGAAAAGAGGCTTAGCGTAGCACAACATGCCCAGTTTGGTTTAAACTAAACATTGCCTCTGATTCATGCTGGATATCTCATGCTTCTCAGGGATTTACCACCAAGCTCAAATTTGTCTCTTGGCTCAGCTTCACTTTTCAAACACAGAAAATTAGGTCAAACTACCACATCAAAACAATTTCTTGCAGCCCAGCCCCTGAGGCCGCCTTCCTGCTCTCCTGTGAAGGGAAAGTCAGCACTTTGTCTTGAGGTTTATTACACCTGCCTGCCTCCTTTATGACTTTCTCAAATAGGGCTTTGCATGCCACAAGGACCATCTGAATTCTTTATAGCTCAGCCTGGGCAGAGAAGAGTCCTGGCTGTATTTCTTCTGGCCCTGGGGTGGCAGACAACCTCTGACAGCCACACAGGATGACTGCACATGATGGTGTTACACCTTCTCCCAGCACTGAAACACAACACTTGGGGACAGAATAAGATGACAGATTATTCACATGCCAGAGAAAGAAAATAAAACATGTAAGTTTGAATTTGTTCCCTCAAGACTGTTATACTTACAAATAAGGATCACAAAAATAAATAAGAACCCCCAGCAGGTACTGGTTTTGGGTAGCCAGAAGGCCTAGAGACCAATCCTTCTTTTTGCTTAGCATTCCATCTTGCGTTCTCCCATTACACCCTCTATGAGCAGCCATATATCAGGCTGCAACTTCATAAGGCTGCAGCCTTTTTATTTTCTCAGTAGTTGACAGAAGTGCTCCACATTGTTCTGTAGGAACAGAGTTTAGCCAAGAGCTACTGAAGTTATTTTCCTATGATATTGCAGTTCAGCATGGACGATAGCCTTCACTAAAATTCTACAAATTATTTTGTCCTTATTGTGTCTCATTTGTCTCTTTTTTCTGCTCAAGAAAGTTTGACTAAGAATGATGTATAGTCATCCAGTCTTTAAAAAAATCATGGAAGAATGCAAGTCCAGAAGGAAAAAGAATATCAGAGCCGCATATCAAGAGCAGACTGAGTACTTCCCTGAAAAAGGGATTGCTTTTTACAACACAAGTGATTTGTACTTCACCATATTAAACAGGCTTACCAAAATCACATGGAAATTATTCTCCATTTTAATTTCTTTTAAATTCTAATCAATAAGGTGATAGCAGAACTCACATAGATGTTTTTTGAGTGAGTTAATTAGTTCAGTGCACCT